CCCATTTGCTTTCAAGCTGGGACACAAACTAATCAGGCAGCATGCTCCCGCCCATGCCAGCCTCGGGAGCCCACCCAGGGGAGTGAGAAAATCAGAGGGAGAAAAGCTTTGCTGAGAGATGGGCACCACAGCTGAACCTCAGAAGCTGGGTCCAGGCTGCCCGCCTGCAGGAGAGTGGAAGGGTGTCCCCAGTGTGGGGACAGCGTGTGCAAAGGCCCAGAGGAGAGGCACATCCTGGAGGGCTGAACCTTGAGGAGTAGAGAGAGACAGAGGAGGCAGCAAGCCAGACCACCTGGGGCCTGGGAAGTGAGCATGGACTTGAACCTGGAGCTGCCAAGACCCCTAAGGAGGTGGGTGGGTGGTCAGATGGGCATTTCAGGAAGTCAGTAGGACCTGGATTGGTGGGCGAGGCTGGGGCAGAGGTACCTAGTGGCAAGCAGCACTCCCCACGGATACGTTTGAGCACCAGCCCCTTTCCAAGCACTTTGATGCATCACTTCATTCAATCATCACAAGGGCTCTGTGAATTAGGTACTATTTTCATCCCCCTTTTAGGGCCGAGGAGACTGAGAACACTTGTCCCAGGTCACACAGGGTGTGGCTACAAAAGGTGGAGCCAGGCAGTGTGGCCCAAACCCAAGGCCCACCCTCCAGGCCACCCGGCCCTTGACCTGGTCCAGGCAAGAGGGGATGCTCTTGGCCACGCCCAGGGAAGGTCATGGTGGGCTAAGCAGGGGTCTGGGGTAAGCCGAGAGAGGATGAGGAACCTCCAGGTATTGAGCCAGGGGCCGCCAGGCGTGGGGGGTCCCGGAGGGTCCGTGGCAGTGCCCCCTGCCCCACACCAAGGGCCCGCCTCCCCTCCCTCCCTCCCGAGCCCTGCCTAGCCTGGCTGACAGAGAACAGATCTGTTGTTGTTGCCAGTGGGGTTTAATTCATCTTCACCGACTCTGTTTCTCTTCACATGCCCTCCATCCTCTCCACTCAGGCCTCGCCAAATTCGGTGTTTAAAAATAATCCTCAAATCTGGGAACAGCAGTCCCCGGCTGACCCAAGGAGTGGATGCAGAGATGCGTGCTTGACTTGTGATTCCGGAGGCAGTCAGCTTGGGGGGTCCTGCTCATCCAGAATGTTCCCCCTGTTATTTGAGATTTATCATTGGCCACCAGCTACCATTGTGGGTAGTTTACCAGTTTTCAAAGAAATAGAACCCGGATCAATAAATCGAATCTGTCTGTGGTAAATGTGCTTTCTGAGGAGTGAGGGTCGGGGGCTCCGGAGGCTCTGGAAACTCCTATAGTGCCAGGAGGGAGAGTGAGTTTCGAGGCTGGGCTTGCTTCCTGTCTGAGGCACTGAGTGGCTGTGTGACCTTGGGCAAGTCACTTCACCTCTCTGAGCCTCAGTGTCCTACTTTACCAGATGGGAGTTTGATATCTGCCTCATCAGGCTGTTGGGGACTATCTGAGATAACATGGTGAAAAGCCAGCGTCCAGCACCTGTGAAGAGCCCAGCTGGTCTAAGCCAGTCCCAGGGCGCAGCCCCACGGCTGCAGACCCCAGAACCAGGGCTGGGCCCAGGGGCCAGGATGAGGGATGCTCACTCTTTCAGCCCCAACTCCTACCTCTGCTGGAGGGGCTTCCCCCAAATGTCACCAGTGGGGGAGGGTCCCAGGTGGTGGCACCTGACAGCGTGACACGCCCAGGTCCCCCTCTGCGGACCCCACAGGGGGGCTAAGGTGAATATGGGGGCTGTTGGTGGTGTGCCCTCAGAAGCTGGCCCTCTCATGGAAACCTCACAGGGATGGCAGCCGCGGAGTTTCCAAAGCAGCTCTCCCACCGAGCCAGGAATAGAGATGCTGGCTTATAGCTTTCCTGTCTTCGGTCATTAGAAATGGAATTTTTATGTAACTTCCCAGTGACACATGGTGGGTTTGTTTTTCCACCACGGGTTCAGCCTTCAGTGCAAGCACCTAAGCTTCCCCGGGGGTCTGAGGAGGTGGGGCAGCCCCCACCTCCACCTTCGTCCCACCAACAGGGCTGTGGCTTCTGTCACCCATTGACTCATCCTGAGGCAGCCGTGGGTGGCCAGGTGGGGCGGAGGGCGCATGGCCAGGCAGAGGGGACTGAGCAGATCGCAGGGAGGACCCTGCTGGACAGGGGACAGACGAGTCACAGTGCATCACTGTGACGGGGTACACCTCTGCTGTGCGGGACCCACACATCCACAACAGGCCCTGTTGCTTCAGCGCCCCCAACGGGCCACGGGCTTGAGGCCGGTGCCAGTCGTGCTGGGAGTCTCACCCAGTCTGCGTGACCCACAGTTGGCCAGGCCCTGGCCCAGGACTCTCACAGTCGGATAGAGGAGGGCGTGAGGACCAGTCCCATAATGTAGAGCTGCTGGGCGCCCTCACCCAGGACCCCCCGGGTCCCTAGAACCCGGCCCAGTCCCTTTCCGGGCGTCAGCAAGTGGATAAGTGGGGGTCAGCAAGTGGATGTTGAGAGAATACATGAATGAATAAATGAATTAACACATTAAGGAGAGAAGAGATAGAATATGATACTCCTCAATGGAGAGACAAACTTCTTCCAGCTGATGGAATCAAGGCAGGCTTCCTGGAGGAGGTGGCATTGTAACAGCTCCTAAGGTGGTGCAGGATTTGGACTCACAGGAAAAAGAGGAGGGCACCCCAGGTGTGAGTGATAGCCCCCCTCAGTATACGCAGGACTTTGTAGGGAGTGGGAGCAGCAGGAAGGAGGGCTGGGCACCCCCACCCAAACATTTGTTCCATGAACCCACCAGCTCTCAGACTGGAGCCCCGGCTTAAAAAGTGAGCAACCCCACCTTTCAGGGGCTAGAAGGGCTTGGAGTCTGGACACCCGTCTTGGCCCTCGGCTTCCCCATCTGCGGAATGGGGCCACATGGCAGGGAGGACTCATCTCAGAGGACCTCTCGCTCCCCACCCCCGCGGTGCATTTTCCAGGATTGACCTTTAGGTTTCCCCAGTACGAAACCCTTTCCTAAGCACTTTCAAATGCTTTAATCTCCTTCAGCCTCCCAGGAGGGCCCTGAGGGAGGCAGGGAGGAGGCCCAGGCTCAGAGCAATTAAGAAGCTCACAGCCCTTGGGGGCGGGCCTGCTCCTGGGGGAGCAGAGAGGCCTTCACCAAGAGGTGGGCGGGTCCCCCCAGGGACTGACACCAACATCACCATGAGTAAGCGTTGTTATTAAGGCGTTCAGGCTTCGTCCAACAGCCCTGCCACCCCCTTTTCTTATTCTGGCTCACCAACCTTCCAAGCAGCTCTGACACCCTGGGTGCCTCTGTGCCACCCATGCTACAGGTGAGAAGCCCCAGGCCCCAGAGCAGGGGCAGGGCCTGGCTGTAAGCACCCTGTGTTTGGCTGTGAATCTGGCACTGTCCCCTCGGTCCGAAGCTTCTGGCCTCTGGGTTGCCCCCTTGGCTTCCTGCCCCGCCTGCCCGCTAGTCAGCAGGATTCAGAGCTGCCTTGGACCCAAGCTGGGGTCCCGGAGCTCTCCCTGATCAGGAGTGCCGTGAGGGTAGAGGGTAGTGTGCAGGACCTTGTTTGGCCTGGAGCCTGGCACATAGTAGGTGCTCAGCAAATTATTCCCCAGCCACATGCAGTTACAACCCTGATGGGGCTCTAGCAGGCCACACAGAGTACACAGAGGACACTTGGTCCTCCTCCGCAGCCTCCATTCCCAAAGCCCGGGGGCGGGGTGTGTGTGGGGGGGATGATAGTGAGGGAACCTGTCCCTCAGGTTTGTCCTGAGGTTTCAACAACCTGATATAAAGTAGCCACGGAGGGCCAAGGCCCTGCCTTAGGTGGCCTGTTGCTACCCACCCCTCCCCCCATCCTCCACTGGCCTCCCTGCTGCTCCCACCTCAGGGCCTTTGCACCTGCTGCTCCCTCAGTATGCAACGCTTCTTCCAATCACCACCATCCATCTCCAGAACTTTGTCATCTTTCCACACTGAGACTCTGTCCCCATGAAACACTCACTCCCATTCCCCCTCCCCCAGCCCCCGGCACCCCCCATCCTACTTCCTGTCTCTATGGACTTGACTGCTTTAGGGACCTCGGATGAGTAGAATCACACAGTATTTGTCTTTTTGTGTCTGGCTTATTTCACTGAGCGTAATGTCCTCAAGGCTCATCTGTGTTGCCGCCTGTGACAGAATTTCCTTTCTTTTTAAGGCGGAGTAATGTTCCACTGTAGTACGTGCCACGTAACGTTTATCCGTCATCCGTCGACGGACATTCGGGTCGTCTCTCCCTTTTGCGATCGTGAATCGTGCTGCTATGGACGTGGGTGTACAAGTATCTGCTTGAGTCTCTGCTTTCAGTCTTTGGGGTGCAACCCCAGGGACCTGATAGCCTTTGAACTACTCATCTGTGAGCTGTCAGCCCTGGTCACTAGAATGCAAGCCAGGGCAGGGACAGCTTCTATTGAGTTCCATCTCGAGTCTGTTTAGTTCATTGCCATGTCCCTAATGCCTGGAAGGTGCCAGCTGGATGCATGCTGGTGGGGGTGGGGTGGGGTTAATGGAAGTCACCGTTAGCGACACAGCAGGGAGGGAGACGTGGGTCCCGCCAGCCCCCTGAAGGTTCATGAGCTCGCCTCTAATCCCCTCGCTCACCACCGTTCTCATTCCCGTGCCCACCGGCCTCAGCCCGCTGGTTATTTCCACCACCTGAGCCATCATCCTCCTTTGAATAAGTCTCATTTTGCTGTGAAAAGAAAGGGAGATGACGACTGACTGGTGGGGGAAGGTCATTCATTCCGGAAAGGAAATTGGATGGCGGTGTTTCCATCATCCACGGCCTGGCCCCTGCTCCCGGCAGACTTGCTTCCCTGCCCGTGCCCATCCGGCCCTGCCATGGGCAGCAAAGCCAGTGTCTGCACCGCAGACAAAACAGCCCACACCCGGCCTCTCCCGGCTCTCGTTCGACAGGCAGCGCTCGACGAATCGATGCAAGCCAAACGATGACCAGTTGTGGCCAGCAGCCCTTGAACGTGCTCGCCGTCCTCTCGTTGCTGATTTCCGCAGGTAGAACTTCCATGATGCTTGGCAGGAGGCGGGAGGGGGAGGTGGTCCCTTCCTGGTGTCAGTGCTATAGCTCAGCCGGGCTTCTGGGTGCTGATGGGGCTGCCTGCCCTAGCATCAGCCTCGTGAGGGGCACATGTTTGTTGCTGTTTGGTGAGAACCTACTGTGTGCTGTGCCCCACGTGCCTGCCTCGGGGAGCTCAGCTGGAAGATTCTTGAGGACACTGTGGGGTTAACGGTGGCTGCCGGTAAGTCCTGGGAGAAGCCCTTACATGCAGTGAATTCTCTCCTGACCCCAGCAAGTCAAAGTCAGGCGGTGTCGTAGTCATCCCATTGTACAGAGGAGGAAACTGAGGCTTGGAGAAGGAACTGACAGCCAGGGACAACACAGCTAGTGCAGGGGCTGGATTCCAACCCAGACAGAGTGGTGCCGGGGCCTCATCTCCCAGCACCCGACCAGTCCCCTAGGCGGGCCCCCTGATCCCAACAGGGGGGCTTTCACCCTCCTGTTCACAAAGATGAACATGAACCAAGTCCTTTGGCTGCTCCAAAGCGAAGCTGGCCAACTGGAGAAGTGCACCCTACCTCCTGCCAGCAGCGCTGGCCCAGCGCGAGCCTGGTCTCAGCAAGGTGCCTGCTCTCGCTGTGTCTCTCCCTCTGTCTCCCTCTCTGTATCTCTGTGTCTCTGTCTCTGTCCCTGTCTCTGTCTCTCGTGCGTGTGTGCACCTATGCCCTCGTGCCCTCCTGCTCTGGCAGGGCTGTGGACACCGGCCTGCACCTTTGGGCCCCTTGCCCCTTTGCTGGGGGTCATGGTTCAGAAGGATGCCATGAAGGGCCCTGGGGTGGCAGAGAAAAAGCTAGGCCAAGGCCATGGGTCTGGGGGCCACTGTGCACAGAACTCCTTCCCTGCTGCTTTCTCACACAGTAGGTCATCTTGTCCCCTGGCAGAGAGGAGCTCCCCACCCATTTACAAATGAGGAAACTGAGGCTCAGACCAGGAAAGAGACCTGCCTGAGGTCACATGGTCAGTGGACACAGTCACCTGGCTGTTAAATGATGGCCATGCAGACCCTGAGCCTCGCAGGTGTGTGTGTGTGTGTGTGTGTGTGTGTGTGTGTGTGTGTGTGTGTGTGTGTGGAGGGGGTGATCGGGGTCCTATCTTGGACGCCAAGACCCCGGGACCCAAGAGTGGCTCTCCCCTGGGTGTTCTCTCTCCGCATGGGCCGGTTTTCCTGGTGACTCAGGAAACGATGGCCTCCTAACGACCATCGCCCTGCCCTCGGGCCCCAGGCACAGCCCCAGAGCCACGGTACACCCGTGCCTGGAGGCCGGAAGTGCTGTCCTTTATCATCCACTCTTTCGCTTACACCCTCCCTGCTCTAAGCGGGCCCTGCGCTTTGCTGTTCACAAATGCTTCTCGGAGCCCCCAGCCCCCGGGAGACCACTGGTCTTCCATCCAGAGAGGCTGTGATGGCCCAGGTGATCCTGTGCGCTCCAGGATTCAGACCAGCTGTCCTGGATCCGGGCCAGGACTCCTCGGGCTCCGGCACATTCTTCCTCAGGACGCAGCAGTGGCCTTGTCTTCGCACATGGTCAAAGCAGGTGGTGCCGGCTGTCCAGGGGTGGCTGGGGTGAACCACTGGGGACTTCTCCTTATCCCTTCCCTGGCTGGGCCTCCCTCCCCACTTCCATCTCTGCACGTCTGGCTCCTCTGAAGCCCAGCTCAAAGGCCCCCTCCACCACTCTGCTCCTTCCCTCCCTGGGTCCAGTGGCTGGAATTCACTTCCTGCCTCTGCCTCTCACCTTTAGCCTCTGGTACGTTGTTCCTCCAGGCCAGTGGGTCCCAAACCAAGTCTATCGGCATCCCCTGCAGGGCTTTCTAAGACTCAGGCTGCACCCCCCACCCCCAGAGTTTCTGATTCAGAACGTCTGCTGAGGGGCTTGAGAAACTGCATCTGTGACAAGTCCCCTGGGGATGCAGACGCAGCAGGTCAGGGACCACACTTTGAGACTTGTGCTCTCAACCTTAGTTTTCTCCTCTGTACAATGGGAATAAACGAGCTCAAATGAGATGGTGCATCCACCTGGGGCTTCCTTAGTGACCACTGCATCCATAAGAGGGTCTTCTGTTTCCCAGGGTCGAGGCTTAGAGCTCCCCTGACTCCTGAAAGGCTGAGACCCTTTTCCCGCAGTGACCCTACCCGTCCCCACGAAAGAGGGTGCTGTACTTTGGGGAAGGGGCCCAGGATTTCACGAAGCCACCCAAGCCAGCCTCGGCGCTCCAGCACATGAGGCCCACCCGCCCACCGGCCAGCGCAGCACAGCTGGGATCCCCTTGGCAGCCCCTGGCGCTGGGAGCTGTGTGGGCTGGAGTCTAATAACCTCTCAGCAGAGACAGAGCTCTCAATTAACTGAGGCGCTTCTGCAGAACTAGAGCCTTGGTGGCTGGAGAAATGTATTCAGCCTTGGAAGCCCCTTTTGAGCGATACAAATTAGATACAGCAGTCCCTTTTATGAAGATACTAATGAAGCTAGAGACAGCGGGCTCCAAGTTGTTTTCCACTGTTATGTTTGTTCAGGCTTTCACTCGTCTTTATCATCAGCAGCACAACTAGTAAATACTGTCCTGGGTTTTCAGCGTCATCAGTGGCTGAATAGGGGCCTCTGGCCTTGAGCCAGAAGAATGAGGGTCCAAGGCCAGGGCAGCTTTGTCGCCATGAGCTGGGGCCACCAAGGCAGGCCCTTGGGGACCTCCGGGTATAGGGCATCAGTTTAGTAGAAACCAAGATATGAGGGGACACCGCTTTCTCTACAAGTGGGACCTGGTTCTTGCACCCATGCCACTCACCACCCAAGCCAGCCTGGGCTTGTTGGTGAGTCCACCAACAGTCCGCACACTGATGGAGGAGTGCAGAGGCTCCTGGACCTTGGATCCAGGCAGGCCTGGGTTGGATTCCTGCTCCACCACCTCTAACCGGCTCAGGTAGGTCACTGTACACCTCTGAGCCTCGGGTTCCTCCCTCTGTAAAGTGGGATCCCAGACCTGCCTGCTGGGATGGCCAAGTGGATTAAATCTGATAGAGCCTGTGAAGCACATAGTAAGTGCTCAGTTAGTGTTGTTTCCTAATTGAGTGCCAGCTGTGTGCAGAGCCCTTGGAGGGGATCCACGTGAGGCTTAAGATCAGCCCTGCCTGCAAGAAGCTCCCAGTCTGGGCAGCACAGTATAAGCAGGATGGTAGCCAAGGGGGGCCTGGGAGGTGACAGGAGCCAGAGCAGTCTTCCTGGCAGAGGGGAGGCTCACACTGGACCACAAAGCCTTCCTGGCAAAGGAGAGGTGGGCAAAACCCTAGAATAGGCCAACCAGGCTCTGCCCATGGTCCTCATGGACTGGTGGGGGTCTTGGGCCAGCTGGGCCTGAGGAGGGACCCCACCAAGCCTGGTGACTGTCTTTTCCAGTCTTGTCCGCGCATTTCCGTGTCTGTGAGCCATACACGGACCACAAAGGCCGCTATCACTTTGGCTTCCACTGCCCCCGGCTCTCGGACAACAAAACCTTCATCCTCTGCTGTCACCATAACAACACGGTTTTCAAATACTGCTGCAATGAGACAGAGTTCCAGGCGGTGATGCAGGCAAACCTCACGACCGGCTCCGAGGGCTACATGCACAAGTAAGTACTGCGCTGGGGCCACAGCCCCACTGCCTTGGGCCCCAGTCAAATCCGGTGCCGCCAAAACACCCCAGCTTCCAGGCCAGCCATTGGGCAACCAGTGCAAGAATAGGTGGACCTGGAAGGAGTCTGGGAAAGTCTTCAGGTGACAGGTTTTCTGACCTGTTCTGCCCGCTGGACTTTAGCCTTCTTATCTGAGAAATGGGCATGTGATACCTGCCTCTCAGGGCTGCTGCGGTAGTTAAATGAGGTCAAGGATGTGGAAGACTTTCAGGCATGAAAGGTGCTTGGACCTGGAATCCACGGGGCCTGAGTTCCTTTTTCATTCATTATTTGTTCAACACATATTGGTTGACATTTCTGACCCAGAGATTAATCCCATGCAGCCCCTTTCCCTAAGGTGATTAAAACACATGAGACCAGGGCCCTGATGGAGGGGATATGAATGTAAAGAAAGAGGAGGAGTTTGCTGGTAGAAAAGCAGTGAGGATATGCTAAGTAAAGTCACGTAGGATGGAAATAGCATCCACTGATTTCTCTTACTATGAGTGAAACTGAGCATATTTCACATGTTTGAGAGTCACTTGTATTTCTTTTACTGTGAGATAACTATTTATGTCCTCTGCCATTTCCTATTGAATTTTTGGCCTTTTTCTTGTTTATTCACAGGAACTCTTTACATATGAAGGAAATAGGATGCATTGCAAATATTTTCTCAGTGTGTCTTTGAATTTGTGATGCTTTTATCCTCATGCTTAATTTTTAATTGTTATGTAATCAAATTGTACCCATTTTTTTTTCTTTTATGTCTGGTGGGGTTTGTATCATACAGAGAGAGTCTTTCACTACTCTGAGATTGTTAAAAATCCCCTCGTGTTGTCTTTTACGTCTTTTATGTTTTAATTTTTTGCCTTCAAATCTTTGAGCTGTCAGGAATTTATTTGGATGTAAGATTTTTTAAAAATTTTGATGTAAGTAATTTATTTGGATGTAAAGTAGGAATCCACATTTATTTTTTTCCCACATGGGTAGACAGTTGTCCTAACAGCAATCATTGAATTGTCCATCTTTTCCTCACTGATGCGAAATGCAAACTTATTGTATACTATAGTATACTAAATTTGAGTATCTGGGTAGATTGTGTTGGCTTTCATTGGTCTATTTATACATTTGCTAATACCTCATTTTGTTAACTCCTGTTGCTTTTGATGTGTTTTAATGTCTTTTTAGTCTATTTCCCCAGGTCTTTTGTCATAAGAACTTTAGAATTGGCTTTTGTAGTCTCCCTGCCCAAAAAAAAAAAAAAAATCTAGTTAGTATTTTTTACTGAGATTGTGTTAAATTCATAGATTAATTCAAGGAGAACAGACTTTTCATGACGTCGAATATTCCTATCCAAGAATACAATGTATCTTTCCATTTGTTCACATTTTCTTTTATAATGTTTTGGAGTTTTCCTCATATAGATATTGCACGTATCTTTCGTGTTTATTCATATTTATTTCTTTTCAAGCTTCTATTTTATAATGGGGTTTTTCTCCTACTATAGCTTCTAACCCAGGGGTCCCCAACCCCCAGGCTGCGGATCAGTACCGGTCCACAGCCTGTTAGGAACGGGACCGCACAGCGGGAGGTGAGCAGCGGGCGAGCGAGTAAAGCTTCATCTGCCGCTCCCCATTGCTTCCCATCGCTCACGTTACCGCCTGAACTATCCCCCCACCCAGTCCATGGAAAAATTGTCTTCCACGAAACCGGTCCCTGGTGCCAAAAAGGTTGGGGACCACTGTTCTAACCAACTGTTGTTTAAATGATAAAACCTAATGATTTCTAAATACGTATTATTTTACTCAGCCACCTTACTGAAACTTCTTATCTTTGTAATACTTTTTTCAGCTGATTCTCTTAGGTGTCTGATTATGCCATTTGCAAACAATGATAATCTCATCTCCTTCTTTCCAATTTTTGTGCCTCACTCCTTTTTCTTGTCCAATCGCGTTGGCTAGTGCCTCTAAAACCATCTTTAAAATTGTCAGGCAACCTTGCGTTCTTCCTGACTTTAATGGGGATGCTTCAGATATTTTCCCAGTAAGCCTGAAGCTGACTCTTGGGGTAGATGTATTTTTTTCATGGTGAGGAAAAGTCCACTTGGAAGGCGTGTTTGTTGAGTGACTGTTGAAGGTATTAGTGGCACTGCTGGGAGTGGTGGGGTGGGGGTCTGAGCCTCCATCTCTCTGTCTGATATTGGGGCTTGGATGTTTTGCCACCATGCCATGCTCACTTGGGGGAAGTTGCCTCTTCCCTTTGATCAGGCAGGAGATGCAAATCCCTTGACTATCTTCTGAATCTCTCCTCCTCCCACCAAGGCCAACTCCCCAGCCTTCCTTCCTCAAATGCATGGGTGCTTCCCCTGAATATCTTGCCATCTGCTCAGACCTCAGAATAATTCTGTGTGAAATAGTTCAGCAAGGCTTTTCTGTCACGAGGACTGGAATCAAGCCTGGAACTTGACCCAAGCCTTTTATAAGACCAAAGACTAATTCCCTGAGGGAGGAGGGCGGTGCCAGGGCTGGGGCTAGGACCCTGAAGTGTTGTCATTGCCAGCTGAAAGCCAGACAGAAGACAGAGGCTTGGCAAGACGGCCAGACTTCTCCAAGGCTCTGGCGACTGGTGTCTGGGATCCTTGTTTTGAAGCCCACAGGTTTCTGTGATCTGCACATTTACACAGGATTCACACAGAATTCCCCATCGTTTAGGCACAGTGGGTCCTGGCTGCAGGTAATGTAGAGTTGGACCACAAACCAGAGCCCTTCCCTGGGGAGGCATGGACGCACTGAGGAAGTTTAGCTTGGCTTTTATTCTGGCACCTCGGCAAGCATTTATGGAGCTAGCGGCATGGGGCCAGCTCTGTGCTCAACCCTCTGAAGCCACTTAGCAGCCCACCCTTGGCCCCCTTTACACACAGGAAGGTGAGGCGTGGAGAGATTGATAAATTGCCAGACTGAGGCAGCCAGTCAGGGTGGAGCTGAGAGCCAGCCTGGGTCCAGAGCCGCTTTAATAAATCTGGGACTTCCACCGATGGAGGGCCTAGAGCCAGGACCCCCACCGCGGCCCGGTGGACACCTGGAGCCTAATCCTCCTTTCTAGGGGCTGCTCTGTGCATTGTGAGACCCTGGCCACCATCCACTAGACGCTGAGCACACCCCCTCCCCACTGACTGGCTGTGACAACCAACCGTGTCTCCTGATGCTGCCAAGCGTGGGGTGCGGGACTCTCCCGGTTGAGAGCACTGCTCTGGAGGGATCCCTCCTGGTTATTCTCCACCGAGCTTCCTGCCATCTCTCTTCCCACAGACGTGGACGGAGGCCCAGAAGAGCTGGGCTGAGCTCCCCTCCCAGGCTGTTCTGCTCTCCTGGGCTTCACGAGGGAGGCGTGGTGCTTGGTGTCCTGTATCCCAAAGTGTTGAGGAGGGTGGGAGCCACACAGTCCAGAGGAATGAGCGTTTCCAGACACAGTTCCCTGCAGCCTGAGTGTGAAATGCCAGGGGAACAATGGGGCAAGGCGGGGGGGGCTGGCGGGATGGGGTGGGGCCTCGCAGACCTGGGGGCAGAGGGAGAGGGGCTCGGGCTTCCTCTTGAGGGTGGTGAGGGGCCCCACGAGCTTTAAGCTGGGCTTGTGCTCACGGATGGTGCATATGGTACAAGGACCTCGGACACTGCAGAAGTCATGAGGATGACTTGGCCAAGACCGGGGCCCTGTGGAGAAGACAGGCTGGGGTCACCCAGGAGACAGCCAATCCAGAGCTCAGATAAGAAGCCCTGGAGGCCCCCGTTTAGCTGCCTGAGCTGGGGCATCTTGGGGAGAAGGCCTGAGCCCAGGGAGCTGGGCCAGGGCCTTGCGTCCAGCCAGAGCTTGTGGCAGAGAGGGGACAACTGGAGGATGGGCCACTGGGTGTGGGAGGATAGGTTAGTGAATGGGTTGGGACAGGCCTGCCTGGCCAAGAGGTCCTGAGTGCTCCGGGTGTGTGAGGAGAGCCAGGTAAAGTCCACCTCTGGGACCGTCCTGCCCTTTGGAGCTCTGACCCTTCTGGGCAGGATGCCTTTGTTGTCTCATTAGTCCTCACAGCTACTCTGAGAGGAAGGAAGAAGGGGCTGGGCCCAGGCAGGTGAAGTCACCTGTTCCAGCCAGTCAAGGCCAAGGGACACCAGGGCCCTTGTTCCGGCCAGTGGGCTCTGCCACTCCCAGGTGCATCTAGAAAGCCAGGACTTGTACGATGGCTGGGGAATGTGCCAGACCTCAGCCAAGAGGCCAGGTGTTCCAATATCCCAGGAGGTTAGCGCCCACTGGCAGCCCATCTAGATGGACCAGCGCAGCTGTGACCCCCGTTGGGGCTTTGTGAAGATGCATGGGGCCTGTCAACAGCAAGGGCTGCCTGACATTTGCCTGCCCTCCCAGTGAATCAGCTGGGAGGCGGGGCTGGTGGCAGGGAAAAGGAGAGTACTTCTGATGACTTATTTATTTGTGTTTCTCTGGAGGAACAGAATGGTCTGTTTTGGTTCTGGCTGCCTGGCAGAAAGGCGGACAGAGCTAGGGAAGCAACCTCGCCAAGCCTGCCGCCACAGTGAGATGCCACTTCTAGCCACTTGGGCAGAGTCCCTGGTGTTCAGGAGTGTACTGCACACCCTCCCATGCCAGGTTCCGGCTGGGACACTAGCAGCAGTGACCACCCAGGGCCCTGAGCAAGCAATGGCAGCACCTATCCAGGGCACAGGGTGGCACGGGGTATGTGGGGTCAGCGGTCAGCTCTCTCTGGGGGCAGGGGACAACCCTCTGGCAGAGGTGGTATGAACTAGAGTCTTGTGCAGTGTGTGGGTGTCCCTTCACCAGGCAGATGGGCTGCCAGGGTTGGGAGCCTGGGGCAGG